GGTGCGATCGCAAAACAGCACCTAGATAGGGGAAAATTCACAGAGCGAAGGTCGGTAAGCGGTTCGCTTACTGACCTTCGCTTTGCGACCCGCCAATCAGCTGTTCTGCGGCTTCAAAATGGCCGCCGGAACAGCCGAAAGGGCCGGGCGCAGCGTTTTCACACCCTTGGTAAGCAAGGGGAGGGTGCGAAAACGCTGCCGGAACAGCTAAAATGGCCGCGCGCATTTGCTTTCCATGCTGTGGGACAGGATCCATCTCACGTGCAGCCATTTATACATGTGCCTTTTGACAGTTCCTCTTCCCTCCAGGTCTAAGGATGAACTCCTCTACTACCCCAACTAGCTAGACTTTCATAGGGTATAATAGGAGTTACAAGGGAGAGAAGGGGGTTGATGAAATGGGTCCCCTTTCTGCCAACACGACCATCTCCCAACACCTGGGAGGAGTCATCTCCAGAGACTCAGGAACCAGACATGCCTGTCATTGGATCCTGATGGGCTTCGCCTGCAATTTCCACCTGCCCCAGTTTTTTTCTTAGAAATATAGATGGTTACTGGAAAAGCCCATTGTTATCTCACAGCCAATAATATACTTCAAAATAAAAATTAGAAGGCAAGTAGTGAGGGCTCCCTGGAAGGTACAATTGGCCTCTTTTAGTCCAAAAAATGATTAATCCAAAATATTTTGAAAAATAACTTGAGGTGTTGAGTGTCCTGGTGGGTGGGGATGCTGGGTGACACATATGACCCATCCCTCTCCTAAGCAGTCTTCTCTTCAGGAATTGTTCCAACTGATGGAGTAAAGCCTGGGCTGAAGTGATAAAATTTAATCCAATTATTTGCAGGGGGGGGAAGGAAAATTATATTATAATATAATCAGTCAATACCTGATCTCAAAGATGTAGACTATTTGGATGCACAACTCAAGTGTTTTTTCTGATTGGGATGTATTTTAGTCTCTGCATCATATACATCTGCATTAATAAGATTTGACATTATTTAACTGTATGTGTGTTTGTCCATCTCTGATAAAATTGTTCAGTGGAACAGTTTAAAAACCAGAAACGAGACCCTTCTTTTGTCCGGAAGCCCTGGATCTTGTGAGCTTCATAACCAATGTTTGATAGGTTTCTGTAGTGTTCCAAAATTGTATGAGCCTGGAAATTTATTAGGTTAGAACTACTTTTTCAGATTAAAGTCTTTTTTTTCCTTCCCCTTTTTCATAGTTGCAGCATTGAAAGGGTGATCCTTCTATGTCAGACAGTTTTTGTTGAGCTTTTTATTGGCTTTCTCTAGATTTAATTTTCAGGATCTAGAAATAATTTTCTGCTAATGTGACCCTAAAGTATAATTGAAAATAAATCAAATTTTAAGGAATAGAAGCAAAAGAGAAACTGACAACTAAGAAATAAGCATGTCAAATCTAAACACACTCCTTGCCATGGGACGAAAGGAAAATATCAGAATGATTTATGATAATACTTACAATTATTTATGATATTTCAAGAGCCTCAGAAGGTGCAATCTAATTATATAAGTGCAAAGTTAGTGGCTTGTTTATTCCTACTGGTAATTGAATTGGAAAATATTTTATTTTGCTGGAGGGTCAATGCAATTTCATAAAAAGCTGTGTGCAGGTGGAAAGGATAGGTGGAGATATATGTGCAAATAAAGGTTTTGATCACAGCTGCTTCTCCCAACCTTGACATGCTGTGGATTGCATCCTTTGTACTAGCATCCCCAACACTGGTGGGCTCTATACTTGAAACGTGAATCCAAAAAAAAAAAGAATGCAAAAACTGCAGATTCAGAGCCTTTAGACATTGAAGTGCATGCCATTTGCAGAAGTTACAAGCAATAAGTGGAGATTAGGCAAGAGCATGCTCACAATCTCTTTATCTCTCCTTCTTTTCCCAGTATATGCATGTATATTTTCCTTTGTCATCTAACAGAAAAAAGTGCTTTAACATACAGACTTCTAAATAAAAGTTAATAAAAGAATAAACTAAAAGGCACCCTTAAGTCTCTTCTGACATCCATGTCAGCAGTCAAGATGGTCTACAGCAGCGGTCCCCAACTTTTTCAGTCCACAGACTGGCTGGGGAAGGCGTGACTATCACGCATGCTAAGTGTTATAACAAATTGGCTGTTTCCCCCTTTTGAAAGGCCTTTCTTGAGGATCAGTATTTCAGCCCCTATAATCTGGATTATTTTCAAATTTAAAAAGTGGGTGAGGCAATCATTCTATTTCAAGATAAACAAGACTGATCTTTTCCATTTATGTGATCTTTTTTAAAAATCTGGGGATAGTTAGGGTTGCCTATTTCTGAATTGGGGGAGCAGTTTTACTTCTAAAAAATCTTAACTCAAATATCTTTTTCCCAAACTTCCCCAACTTTGGCACAAAGCAAGAGCAGACTGTCTACTACAGCTGTGCCCAATTTGGTGCAGATCTGAAGCTGAGATATAAATGTATACATTTTTGTTTGGTCTGCCCCCATTTTTAGAATCGTCTTATAGAATGTTGATTTGCTCTGCCAGCACAATATTAAGACACATTATTTTACAGCCATGGCTCTCAAACTTTTCAGCATCAGCTTTTTTGCGAAATCCTCGTGCCATCAACCTGTTCTTTACCATCATCCAACCCCCTTTTAACAAACAAAATTCATAATTTTAAAAATTAGTAAATAAAATCTTAATGAAATTATTTTAAATAAAAAATAAGCACAGATTGTTTTTCCTGACTGATTTTAATAATATGTTTCACACAAATTAAGCTGATGAAAATTTCCTTTTCCCCCCCTCAGTTTTGTGCTCCGTCGGAATTTTGGTACACTTTCGTAGAACAACACTTTCACCCCACTCCAGTTTGGGAAGAAATGTGTCAGAGACATGCATTCTCCCATATGGGTCACCCTGATCTTTACGTTCTGTGGATACGTTTACCATATTGTGACTTCTTTCTGCTCATTTGTTGGTGGTACAGAGAAGGACCTGCTCAGCTGTAGCGTCCATCATATATAGTAAGGATTGGCAACATGTGCCCCTCCAGATGTTACTGAACTGCAACTCCATTCATCTCTCACTTCTGACTCTATTGGCTAATACAGTACTGTTTAGGGTTGTAATCAAGCAACCTGAAGGAACACAAATTCCCCATCTGTAATAATAAAGACCAGAGTGATCTATGTGGGAGAGTACATTTCTTCCCAAACAGGTAGGGTGGGGTGAAGGTGTTCCTCTATGGAGGTGTACCAAATTCAAACAGGAGACATTGGACTTCCAGACCGCCAGTAGTATGAACTATCCTTGGTCACTGTGAATGAGCTATTTCAATGTTTTATTCTTTAATGATTTTATATTAGTTTCTTATGAATTCAGGTTCATTCTGTGATTTGCTTTGGTATTTCCATCGTCATCATTAGTCATTTTGTTTTGTAATTAATTGTTCTGCAGAAAAAACAGTTTGACCGTGAAATGATTATGAATATTTCATTGGCCCATTCAGAGTCTCTTTTCATTTAATTTCCTTGATTGTTAAAAAAAAAAGGGGGAGTTACTGTTTAAGGTCATCCTGGAGAAAACAACATTGAATGCATATGTGGCTTTGTCCTGACTCCCCTTGAGAACATTACAGCTCTGAACCAATAATTGAGGTCTACCGGCAAGTCGAGGGAATTTAAGCAAAATGTCACTCATCAGCATGCCTAGAGTAGTTTCCATGGACAAGTTGTCTATAAGGAGCAACCCCTGTGAATTGGTAGAATGATTCTTTCTTCCCAATTTTTGGGGGTGCAGTGGGAATTATCACGTATAGTGTAATATGGCAGTATAAAGCAAAGTTGCGCTGAAACCCTTTCAGAATAATAGGTCTCAATGTTGTGCGTGATAAGTACCAAAGGGAAGGCATTTTCTGTCACCACAGGATTGTTATCAGTGGGGCAGGAAGAAGGACATGTATGAGTGAGCATGAACAGTGAGACTGGTGTTCATCTAAATCATCCATGCAATGTAAGGCTTTCCTGCCTTTCCTGTTTGTTCTTTGGTTTCAGTGCCCAAAAATTATTTGAAGCTGCTTAGCTTTTTAAATGGCAGAGATGCCATTTTGCAATGATGCATGACTCATTCATTGCTCATTATCTTCCTGCTGATATTTTTCTCTCTCCTGCTCTCTCTCTCTCTCTCTCTCTCTCTCTTTTGAGCCAACAAGAAAGACTCATATGGGAGGGGGAGAGGGATGAGTGAGTTGTGCAGCACGCTACTTAAATTCTATTGCTGGCAGTTCATTGGTTACATGCTCCCTTAATCTATCCAGTCCCGATTCATTTCTGCCTGCTCAAGCCCACCCCTCCTCCCACTCCTTGCCAGACTAAGGTTAGGAGGGTGTCTGTTAACTAGAAGCTGATTATGTGCAGTATGAGAGCATCTTTTGATACAAAATGGTCATCCGTATAGTTGAGGAGGGGCGAAAACAGTCTAGGGATCTGCCTGTTGACATGCACTGCATGAATCACTAAATGGATGAAGACACTTTAGGTTTTCTTTTGTTGTCAGTGACTCTGCCGATATTCCTATTCAGAACCACAAGTTTTCAAGCTTTAATCAGAGACCTTTAAGGGGGGGGAAAAAACTTCCAGTGAGAAGAAACTGTAGCCAAACTAGGGTTTTCTTCCAAAGTACCATAGTAACAGCATCTACTCTACTGTGATGCATCTCTGCAGCTCAGCTTAGACTATCTGGGTAGTTTGGTTCTAGCTGCATTTGGAATCTGTACAGAGGCGGCTTGTGGGGCATTTTCCTCTTTCTTTCCTGCTAGTTCCAAAATGCCATCCAAAGATTCTTGGTCGGGGCAAAAAGCTAATAGATCTGCCGTTCAGAACTCGAAACAGGAGAGCCGGCAAAGAGATTTGTTGGTAGCAGCCTTGGGAATGCGACTGGGCTTTCAAAAGTCCTCTGTGACCATCTGGCAACCTCTTAAACTCTTTGCTTATTCACAGCTCACATCCCTCGTCAGAAGAGCCACTCTGAAAGAGAACGAACACATTCCAAAATATGAGAAGGTTCACAGTTTCAAGGTAAGACGTTCACCTGCTTCATTAACTGTATAGCTCAGCTAGCTAGCTAGATGATCAAGAACGTTGTCTGAGGTTGTCATGTTTACATGTCGGGATGCTTGTTGTGAAGCTGATGGGGAGGAACAGTGTTTCAACAGAGCAAGGTCTTACATGTTAAAATAATTCGTTGTTCTAAAACTATTATTGAAGTTGATGTAGTGATCAAAACTGTCTTTTAGGTATATATACATTTTTCTGCATATAAATTTTAAAAATCTACAAAAGTATTTTAACTAGGTTCTTTTTGGTAGTTCAAGGATGCCAAAAAGCTGGTGGATTTTTTTTTAACCCTGCCTTTGATGAATGTATTAACCAACCTTATCTATGCTCATTGCTATAAAATAGCATTACATGGCAGAAGCACACTCTGTTGCATCTGGACAGAGCAGATGGTCTGCTGTTCTCCTGTTTCCTGGCTTGTATTTCCTTCTTCCTTAATGAATTGGCTATGTTGAAGAGATCACATCTACACTGCTGGGATATGAAAGCCAGTGACTCTTGAAGATGCTGCTCAGTATTTTAAATACAGTTTTCTCATGTTTCCTGTAATTAATTTTGTTTTATTTTTTGTTTGATTATTGTGGTGTCTTCATTATTTTGGGCAGATTGGAAAAACCATTATTACGGATATTTGTGTATGGTGTGTTAATATTATTGGTATGCAGCCTTTTCCACTCGTCCAGTTAAATGAGTGTGCATTTAACTCAGGTCTTGTAAACTGAAACTACACAGGATTAGAAACTGGGAAAAGTGGGGAATATGCTGCAGTGAGTTGATAGCCTAAGGCCATGGCCAACAATAGCGATGGGGATAAATATTTGCCTCACGCATCTGTATGCCTTCCTTTTGAAAACAGTCGACACTCAGTTGCTTCAGTCCAGTGACCTGTTGGTAGACACAACAGGCACACAAATTGTCCTCTTCAGTAGCATAATGGGTAGTGCACCTGCAAATGGTCTCCCTTCCTCAGAGTAAATAGGGAGATCCACATGCACACAGACCTGAACGTCTTCCCTGTTGGAGATGGGTGTGAGGGCAACTGTTATATCACATAGTGCTTCATCCTTCAGTCTTGCTGTTATATTTTGCCTGTCTCTGGAGTAAATTGTTTCAGCTGGTGCTCTCCAACGGTTTGGACTACAACTCTCCTCCTCTGTAATTGTTGACCATGCTGGTGGGGCCTGGTGGGACATGCTGTAGAAGACACCAGGTTGCCTGCTTTGCTATAAGCATGGTGGCTAAGTTGACTAAAGGCATAAATTGGGATTTGAATCTCACCTTTACTGTGAACACCAGCTCTTTAAGTCACTGCATTTAGGGGTTAAGGCTGACTTCGCTTCCAGAGTTCTTGTCAGTATTTACATTTATGTAAATGTATGAGAGCAGTTTAGAAAGGCGCAGAGGCCACATTCACTCTCTCTCTCTCTCTCTCTCTCTCTCTCTCTCTCTCTCTCTCTCTCACACACACACACACACACACACACACACACACACACACACACACACACACACAGGACCTTGAAGAGCTGTACCCACTCTGGCAAGCTCCCACCCATAAAGATGCTTTGTTTTGTGTTTTTAAAGAAATACTGGGAAGGCCCCCTCATACTCCTTAGTGGGCACAGGTAGCAGCTTCACCGTTTTGGCTCTTCCTGAGCTGCTCTGGTGTGTGTTTTTTTTGGGGGGGGGAAGCCCTCACCTGCCTTCAACAGTTGGGGCAGGTGGGCATGGCAAAACAACAAAAGCTTGAGAAGCCGTGGGGTTCTTTGGGGAAAGGAACAAACGGTCCACAGGCCGTACTTTGCCTACCGCAGGCAAGATGCGGATGAACTGCTTTGAACACTTAAACCAGGGGTCTCAAACTCAATTTACCTGGGGGCCGCTGGAGGCAGAGTCTGGGTGAGGCTGGGCCGCATCAGATTTTCCGCCAAGTGGAGCAAGAGCCTGAGGAAGCTGCCCAGGAGTTTCCTTTGCCAAAAGGCTGGGCGCTGGCCGGGCTGGTGTTGGGGGTGCCAAGAGAGAAAGAGAGCCAGAGAGCCGCTTCCCTGGAAGAGGCGGCGGTGGCTGCTGTTTGTGGCTTGGAGGCGCTCTTCAAGGATGCTCCGCTCTCGGGCATCACTCAGCAGTGGCTCAGGCACTCGGGTAAAAGGGCTGGCAGCGCACCTCAATTGCCGGCTCTCCCCCAGGATAGCACCTCTTGCACCTTCCATCCAGAACTACAGCCCGCCAGCCAGCACACATGCGGGCTGGCAGGCTGCAGTTCCGGATGGAGGGTGCAAGAGGCGCTGTCTTGGGAGACAACCGGCGAGCAAGGTGAGGCTGGATGTGTGGGTCCTTCAGGGGGGACAGGCAAGGTGGGGGCAGCAAACTATCATCCGGCAGCAAACAAATGCCCCCTGCCGCATGTTTGAGACCCCTGACTTAAAATGTAAAGCATTAGCCACAAATTATTGTTGCTTTATCACTTTTCACAGTTAGCTGGGGTGTGGGTGAGAGATTCTGATTCAAGATGATGTGATGCATATTTTCTGATTGCTAATCAGGGTATTTCATCTTATGTCTTCTCTTTGTAGCTCTTTCCATGCAATCCTGAACCCAGTTATAGCCAATCTGTATCAATTTCCAAAGGGTATAGTATGTGTGCATCACTGAGGGCCAAAGTGCAGTGAGGTTGTATTAAACAACTCCTTCAGTCCTTGAGACAATCTCCCATACAGTTCCTGAAACGTCCCGTTAATCGAAACACCCTGAAGTCTCCGGACAGTGTGAATGTTAGGCAGATCATCCAAAACTGTTGCGAGTGACTCTACAGAGTTTGCATTGTATGAATATTGATATATCCTGGGGGAGGGGGTTTGCACGTCCTATATTGTGCACAATTTTTTAAAAATGGAAACCAGCATTTGAAAAACGGGAGGCAAAGCCAAGAGCTTAAAAAATGTCTGAAGATAGCTGCTAGATAGCTCAGTGGTTTAGGCATATGGCTGCAGAACCAGAAGTCAGGAGTTCGATTGCCCACTGGGACTCCTTGACGGGGGCTGGTCTTGATGACCCAGCTCTGCAGTGCTAAAATGATGATGAGACCACTTTAAAAAACAAAAAACAAACAAACCACAAACATAAGATAGTTTTCAACCCTGCATGTGTCTCCATCCGGCCGGGTACCACAGAGCTAGAGATAGTACCGAAGAAAGATAAAAGTTTTCAAAAATCATGGCTGGATGTGTGGGCCAGACTCCTTTGTTTAAACTAGGAAGTCCCAAAATGGAGGCTGAAAACTCAGGCCAGAAGGGTAGATTTCAGGTTCTGCCTCCAGTGGTCTGGGTTAGAATCTCTGTCCCAGTCTTGTTAGAGTCGACAAAGGCCTGCTGTCTGCCCGGCCCTTCAGCATTCTCCCCCTTGCCCCCTTGCCATGTATGGAAACACAGGGCCCCCTGGGGGCTGTGGGAGGAAAGGTCCACAAAAGTGTGTCACACTCTGTGTAGAAAGTGAGCTTACGTTTCAGATTTTTTTTTTTTAGTGGCATCACCTACCTTTGCCTTCAGATGGTGTACAAGGACCACCTTGCTTTTCTTCCCCCCCCCTCCTTTTCTGTTGAGCTAAAAAAAAATCATATATGTCTCCCTGGCAACCCAACAGCTTGCCTGGTGATTTGGAAGTTTGAACAAGCGCTGCCTTGGGCAGATCTTCAGGGGAATAATGGGGGAGTGGAGTGAAAAAATACCTCTCTGTATGCCCTCACCAATCATGAGTGGTACTCAGGGGGCACTATCAAAAGACTGCCCTAGGTTAACTCTGAAGATTATGATGGCTGCTATAGGAAGACACTGTAGGCAGCTTAGGGACCCATTACAGTCCTGTGAGGAACACTGCAGTCAACATTTCCCCAGGGTGTAGAAAGATAACAATGGGCAAAGAATTAAAAGAAAATAGGAAGCAGAATTTGATCTTGAGTGAAACCAGAAGCCGTTCCACTTAAATAGTGCAAATTTTCTATAACTCGATTGGATACTATGAGCCTTGTGTGTATTAAATCTGTGTCCCTATCATTATAGTTTAGATAACATTGTTTAAACAAAATGTCTGGATTCTCCCATTCAGAAATGTTGGGGGAAAGCACTGCAAAAAGATTTTCTGATATAAACGAGCCATGTGACATTTATTCTGCATTTCCAGAGCTTGAATATGCAGAGCTAATGATCATGCCAGGACCCATCTACATTAAAAGATTTAAAGTGTTAAATGTAAATACCCGTACACCCTCACCCAAAAAAGATGTTTTGGGTGAATGCTGCCAATTTGTATTTATTTATTTTAGACATCTTTTTGTTGAATTGCACTTCCTGTGGTTCCTAGAGTGGGAGAATGTATTGTGCTGAAGTTACTATGTTCAGACCAAAGCAAATGCCATGTGATATGGGAAAACTATTTAACAGTTTGAATGGTTTTTAAAAAAAAATCTTTAACCATCTTTAAAATCACAATAAGTGAGAGTGTTCCTGGGTGCACTGCTAGTGACCGAACACTAAAGGCACTTGCAAAAGAAGTAAGCCGGCTGCTGGTGCCAAATAGGCCTCAAGATCATGCGAGACACATACTGTTATCCAACCAGTTGCATAATATTTTCTTTTCTTAGAATAATTAGACATTTTTCCAGTGGCAGATGGCAAGCTACACATCCGGTTGGTGAGCTGTGTTTCTCTTCCACAAGTGTTTGGTCGGTTCCAGTTTGGTTTTGCTTTCAAAAATGCAGTGACTTTTTCCCCTCACTCAGAAGCAGAGTCTGCTCCAAAGGGGAGGATCCTGAGCCCTGGTGCTTGTGTTCCACACAAAGAGCTCATCCCCACCCCAAGCTGTGTATGTCCCAACAGAAGACAGACAGTTGTCAGATTCTCTCCTGTTTACCAAAGCGGTCGAAATCTAACGAGGAAATTTCTGGTGGAAGGCTACCTCTGGAGCAA